TCCTCCACACTTGCCTTGCAGGGGGTGGCCTGCCGTAGCCGTGGCACCTCTTCCTTTTCCCCCCAGGTCCTTCTGAAACGGTCTGGGCTGCCCCAGGCCTGGCTCTGGCCGCGGAGGGCTTTGCAGACACACCAAGCCCAGCTTTTGGTTTTGCAGCGCTGCTCAACGAGCCGGCCGTGGCAGCCCAGACCTTGACCGAGAGCAGAGAGCGGCTGCTCCGCTTCCCCTGTGCTTAGGGCGGCTGGGAACTGTGCTGCCCAAATCTTGATGAGTTCTTCGCTACAGCTCCCTTCTGCTGTAAAAGAGAAGGGCTCTTCCCTAGTTAGTTCAGTATGGGTCTGGAAGAGACTTGGACCCTCCAGTCTCTTCTTGTGTTGAGGGGCTGCACCCGAGCTGTACCTGATGTGCCGTTTATACTTGTACTTGGAAACCCTCGCTGAAGGCTTGCAGAGGCTCCCGGGCAGCCTGCCCGAGAGCTGGGGGAGCAGCAGGGTGCCTTGGCCCGCGCCCCCTTTGACTCGTGTCCCGCTGTCTCCGCAGGTGCAGTTAGATAACTTGCCTGGAATGAGTTTAATGGCAGGAAAAGCACAGAGCTCTGCTCGGATGTCTGATGCCGTCCTCAGCCAGTCGTCGCTGATGGCCAGTCAGCAGCTGCGCGACAGGGAGAGCGAGGGTAAGGAGCTGCCCGGGCTGCAGGCATGGTGGGGGTGTGGGGGGGGGCTGTTTCGGGCTCTCGAGGGGTGCCCGGGCTGCGGGGAGTGCGTGCTGATGGAGGGCAGCTCCTTGGGTGCTGCTGTCAGTCGGAGCCTGGGAAAAAACAGCCCCCTGGCCCGATCCCCGCGCTGGAGCTGGAGCTCCTTAGCGCTCCTTGGGCAAACTCTGATGTTGCTCTTTGGCCTTACAGAATGCGGGGAGAGTTTGGAAGGTCAAGAGCATCCCAACCTAGGTGATGGCAACCAGCATCTAAACACCTCCTGTTACCCATCGACCTGTATTACAGACGTCCTACTGAGCTACAAGCACCCGGAGGTGCCCTTTGGCATGGAGCAGGCAGGGGTGTAACCAGGAGGGAGTGAGTATCCGAGCGTCCTCTCCTCCCAGCTGCACGCCTAGGGTTGCCTCCAGGGCAGACCCGAGGGCCCCTTGCCCTGCCTGGTGTGCGTCTCCTTCCTTGTCCCCTGGCTGTCCGCTGTCCCCCTGCTCACTCGGGGACAGCGCCCCTCCTTCCAGGCCTTGGCTGCCCTTCCAGAGCCCCGCTGCCTCCGCAGGGTCTCCCTCCGGGGCGTAGCTTGCGGGTCTGGACGGGGAACGCGGTGGAGGGCGGTGGAAGCAGAACTGCCCTTCTCTGGCGTCTCCTAACGTCCCTGCTTCTTCTCTCTCTTGCAGGTTTTACGTACAGCTTCGAAACGAAAAGGTCCATTTTAAACCAACAGTATCTAGCAGCATTGCGCCAAATTGCCGTAGTATTTCTGACTAACTGGAATACCATGGCCCCTTTCCTCATAATCAGTTCATCCAGTGTGTCGTTCCTTTGGTTTCTTTAATTTTTGCCATATTTGCCTGTAACTCCAGCTATCACAGAAATAACCAGAGAACCTGAGTCCTACATGTCGGCAGAGGATTCACGGAGCCTGAGCACTGAGTCTGGTTTGGAGGGCTTCTACTGACCAGGGCCAGGCGGGCCCCC